CTCATATTGTAAACATTCTTGGGTGGTGAGTGCTGAATCCTGTTGGAATGACCATGGTCTGCGGCCAAAATGTTTACGTGCCCAAGGCTTTAATACACCCTCCAGAATATTTTCGCGATAATATTCGGCATTTATTCTGATGTCACAAGTTGGAATGTCCGTGGTCTGCAGCCAAAATGTTTGACTGGCCAAGGCTTTCATACACCCTCCAGAATATTTTTGCTATAATATTCTGCATTTATTCTGATGAGCGACCATCGGCTGTTATGGCGGCCCACACCATCACCATGGCCGGCGCTTAAGTTCTGGTGGCCAACCGAAGATGCACATTTTCAGCTGACCTCTTTGACAAGCACCGATCACACCATCATTTTGTTTGTTTACAAACTGCTGGACAACGAATGCTTTCTCATCGGAGAACGGAGAAAACCAAATTTGGCAGTTCACCACTTTCGGCCAAGCGAAGCAACTCTTTAGCTCTTTTGAGTCTATTTTCTATGTTAGCGTGCTGAAGGCTTTAATAAACCATTCATATTCGGCATTTATTATGATGATACGGTCGATTAATACGAGCGGAGAGCGACCATCGGCTGTTATGGCGGTCCACATCTTCACCATGGCCGGCCGGCGCTTGAGTTCTGGTGGCCAAGCGAAGGTGCGCATTTTTAGCTGACCTCTTTGTCAAGTAAACACTATCATTTTACTTGTTTGCAAACTGCTGGACAATGAATGTTTTCTCATCGGAGAAAACCAAATTCGGCAGTTCACCACTTTCGGCCAACGAAGCAAATCTTTTGCTCTTTTGAGTCTATTTTCTTTCTGTTGCGGTGTAAGTTTTTGCACTTTTTTGAATTTCAATGGCTTTATCCCGCCCAAGCTCATTTTTCAATATTTCCGAATGGAATATTGCGATATGTTCAGCTCATGAGCCATTTTTCGGCCACTGCGACGCGGGTTTCGATCAATTCGCTTCTTTACTTTTCAAACCATTTCTGCTGATGTTGCTGATGTTTCTTCCGTCCACTTCCTTGACATCGGGCTACGCTACCAGTATCACTACCGGGTAACGAGCGATGGTACGAGACACAAACGATTTATTCACATTCAAATGCTGGAGTGCTCTAACGATAGCCACTTGTGGTTTTCCAGTCAAATATAAAGAAATCACACTACCACACTTGAATTCCATCACGAGTAACTTTTTTTTCAGGAAAATTCTCACAAATTCTCTTGTAAACAAAATAATGAGCTGTCACTGGAATAATTTTAATAGCTGTCGGACGAGTGGCTTAGAAATGACAGTAGTCTAAAGTTGGATGTAGTTTTTTCTTCTCACCCTTGTTAATAATTATTATAATTATAATTTATAATCACGCAGTAATTTGTTTTTATAGTTTTGACCTTTCTCTATCTCTTATCTTCTCCTCTAAACCTGGGCTATTCAAGAACAAGAGCCCCCACTCACCAGTCAATTTCTCTTTGCTTTTAGAAATCATCAACAAATCTAGAAATTTTTAATAATTAATTATTTGCTTCATTAATACTTTTGGAGCAACTTCATATTTAAAAAAACAATTGAAATAATTCGTAGAATCATAAACAAGAACAAAATATTAGTTTTCCTTTAAATTCTCACTTTTGCGGACTTATGACTAGCACATGGTTTTGAGCATGAATGAAAGAATAATAATGTTATTAATTAATTAATTTAATGCTATACTTTCATTCATGGGTTTTGAGTAACAACAACTTTCAGAAATGATTGAGGAATTTATTAACCCTCTCTTTCTCTTTTCTTTACTCTCTCTATCAACTATAAAGTAATATGACTGGTATAAGGATGAAATGATAGATGAATTTATTGACCTTCTCTCCCTCCCTTTTCCTCACTCTTCATAAAGTAACTACAGAGAAACAGTGCTAAAAACCGTTTGCTAGTACAAGAGTAAAAAAAAGAGATAATTTAAGAGAATACAAATATTATATTTTTCTTTAAATTTTTCAATTCATTTCTAGCGTTTTTAAACCTGGATGTTGTCCAAAATTGTTAATAAAGCGAATTTTTACAAATAAATAAAAAAAATTATTAATTATAAATTATATTTTAACACTGCATTATTGATTATTTAATAAAAAAAACAAAGAGAAATTGGACTGGTGAGCGAGGTCTTGTTCTTGAGCAGCGCTGCTATAATGTAATGCCTGGTATAAGGATTGGTTTGGTTTTAAAATGTTTCCCCTTCTCTCTCTCTCTGTCTCCTCTTTTCCCCCAAATCCAAAAGACTTAAGAAACATACATGAATATTAAATAAGATTCTCTCTCTCATAATTTTTCTCTATTATCACTTACTCTAAAAAGACTTGGCTTATTTGACCCATAGCCATTTCATGGCCTGTGACAATTTCTTGCGGTCTTTTTTCTGGTCCGGTCTGGTCTTCGCGGCGTTATGGACGTTATGCTTGATTGCCACGTTTTGTGATTTAGTTAACTGTCATATAACAGACCATCATTCATATTTGTTATTAGTATTAAGAAGGTTTGTTGGTTAAATGAAATGCGTTGTGGAGAAAAAAAAGGCTAGGCTTCATTGATATTTCCATTGACCAGAACATGAATGAAAATGTCTTTCACATAATGGTCTATTATTATTATGAATATGAAGAGAAATTTCTCTAATGGTTGGACTTGGTTTCTTGGCACAGAAATAAATTTCGATTTGGAGCTTAAAAAGAGGTAAGATGGAAATAGTAGGAAATAGGAAAATAATCAAGAAACTTAAATATAAGTCTCGGGTAAGGCCTATCTATATAAGGTCGGATAAGAGAACTACTTTTGACAATAATTTGACAATAAATTTGGTAGTTTTTGAATTATTGTGATTTGATTTTTTTTTTAATTTTAAATCAAATTATGTCTTTTGACAGCAAATGGATTTACTGGCCGACTTTTATGGGCCATGTGCCCATTTTTTTTCTCAAAATTTAATTTTCCTATATTTTTTATTTTACCCTCCTACATGGTATGGAGGGTATATTAAGTTTGACATTCCTTATTTATTTTTTATTATTTTTTTTTTTTTTTTTCATAATTTTATGTTCCTATATTTTTTCCTATATATTTTATTATACCCTCTTCCAAGGTATGGAGTGTATATTAAGTTTGTCATTCCGTTTGCAACACCTCGAAATATACATTTTAGACCCCATAAAGTATATATATCCCAGATTAGCATAAATGTCTATGTTGTTTTAGCGATGTCCGTCCGTCTGTCCTTCTGTGGAAACCACTCTAGCCTCCGAACGAATTGAAGTAGGTTGATGAAATTTTACTCAAATGTGTATTATGTCTGCAGGATTTTTGGTATTCAAAATGGGCCATGTAGGTCCATGTTTCGGTATAGCTCCATATAACGATACCTCCCGATATTCGGTATTTTCATGACTTTAGCGATATTAGTCACCGAAAATGTTTCAAATTTGGTATTTGAAGTTCGTAATGGATACTACAGACTATGACAGAAAATTTTCCGGACAGGTCCTCGCCTTCGTATAGCCCCCATGTAACGGTACCTCCCGATATTCGGTATTTTGATGATTTCTGGCGACATTAATCACCGGAAATGTTTCAAATTTCGTATTCGAAGTTCGTAATGGGTAGTACAGCCTAAGACAGAAAATTGTCTACACAGGTCCAGGTCTTCGTATAGCCCCCATGTAATAGTACCTCCCTATTTTCGGTATTTTGGTGATTTTAGCGACATTATTCACCGGAATTGTTTCAAATTTGGTATTTGAAGTTCGTACTGGCTACTACAATCTGTGACAGAAAATTGTCCGTGCAGGTCCAGGTCTTCGTATAGGCCCCATATATCAGTACCTCTCTATATTCGGTATTTTGATGATATTAGCTACATTATTCACCGGGACAGTTTCAAATTTGGTATTTGAAGTTCATAATGGGTACTGCAGCCTAAGACAGAAAATTGTCTATGGAGGTTCACGTCTTCGTGTAGCCCTCTTGTAATGGTGCCTACCTCTTTTCGGTATTTTTGTGATTTAAGCGACATAATTCACCGGAAATGTTTCAAATTTGGTACTTGAAGTTCGTAATGGATACTACAGGCTATGACAGAAAATTGTCTGTGCAGTTCCATGCCTTCGTATAGCCACCCATATAACAGCACCTCCCTATTTTCGGTATTTTTATGATATTAGCTACATTATTCACCGAACCAGTTTCAAATTTGGTATTTGAAGTTCGTACTGGGTACTACAATCTGTGACAGAAAATTGTCTATACCGGTTCAGGTCTTCGTATAGCCCCCATATATCGATACCTCCCTATATTCGGTATTTTCATGATTTTAGCGACATTATTCACCGGAATTGTTTCAAATTTGGTGTTTGAAGTTCCTAATGTGTACTACAACCTGCGACAGAAAATTGCCTATGCAAGTCCAGGTCTTCGTACAGCCTCCATATATCGGTACCTCCGGATATTCGATATTTTGGTGATTTTACCGACATTATTCACCGGAATTGTTTCAAAGTTCATATTTGAAGTTCGTAATGGGTACTACAATCTGTGATAGAAAATTGCCTATGCAGGTCAAGGTCTTCGTATAGCCCCCACATATCGGTACCTCCGGATATTCGATATTTTGACGATTTCTGGCGACATTATAACCGAAATTGTTTCAAATTTCGTATTTGATGTTCCTAATAGGTACTTCAGCCTGCGACAGAAAATTGCTTCTGCATGTCCAGGTCTTTTTATAGCACCCATATAAAAGTACCTCCCTGTATTCGGTATTTTTAAGATTTTAACGAATTTTATTTTTTTTTTTTTTTGTTTTTTAATTTTCAAATTCGTTCCAAATTGTGTAGGTCCGGCTGACTGTTCTGTTTTTTTTCTTGTTTTAATTCTTGTCAATAAATTTTCAATTTAAATACTTTAATTTCATTTGTGTCAATTTTTCAATTTTTCTTCCAATTTCCCCATGTCCTCCTCAATTGTTTGGGTAAATTACAAGAATCTCCAAATCTGTGACATTCATGAAAAACAACGCCCCCTTGTCAAGGACTATATCCTGAAGAACTTCCTCTCCAATGAATTACATCAAATTTTAGGCTATCATGAAAATATCGAATTCCAGGAGGATCTTCAAAGAATTCTGCAACATCTATTAGAAAATGATAGCAGCATTATGGTATGGGATAGCGAAAATGATGAAATTCGGGGCGTTGCCTTGATGAAATGCATGCTGGAGAAATGGTATTCTTGGACAGCCTTAAAAGTTTTGATACGGAATTCCAATTTGGAGGAACTCATTGATTTGTCACGCAATAGCCTGAAGAATATGGCCTCGGAAATCAGGGAGCAATTGGATTCTTTGCACATATTTTATTATTTTTTTGAATCGGATTTGTGTGAAGATTTTTGTTTCGTTGCGAAATTTTTCCAAGCTATTTCCCTGGTGGGCCAACACATGCAAATGCCCAGGATAACTTATATGGCTTTGGGGAGAAGGGAAGGAGAACTGTTTGAGGAAAATGGTTTCCAGGAGATGCAGCGCCTACTCTACTCCATGTATGTCTATAGGGGAAGAAGGCCCTTTGATCATTTGCGGGATTTAAATGAAATGTATGGCTGTCTCTATGAAAAGAAATTGGAGAACCTAAAACCATTTCGGGAGCTGGAAATAAGGCATGGCGAGGATAAGGAAAAGGAGGGGAGTGAAAAATAAATTTTTAAAAAAAATGGAAAATATTCCCACTTGAAAACATTCTCCCCTCCCCTCCCCCACCAACAACCCCTGGTAGTCAGGGAATTTCTCCCCTCTACTCCAATAATCCCAGGCCTTGATTTTATGGAAAACCTGCCTACCATTGCCCTTGGAACCCCCGCCCCTGGAAAAGATTCCTACTTGGTTGTCAGGGAATTTTTCAAAAGTTTTGGAAATTCCCCTCAACTCCAATAACGCCAAGCCTTGATGTCATGGAAAACCAGCCTATCATTGCCCTTGGAACCCCCGCCCTGGAAAAGATTGCTCCTTGAACCCCCCCCCCCTCCAACCCCTGGTTGTCAGGGATTTTCTCAAAGTTTTTGAAATTCCCCTCTACTCCAATAACCCCAGCCCTTGATGTCATGGAAAACCAGCCTACCATTGCCCTTGGAACCCCCGCCCCTGGAAAAGATTCCTACTTGGTTGTCAGGGAATTTTTCAAAAGTTTTGGAAATTCCCCTCAACTCCAATAACGCCAAGCCTTGATGTCATGGAAAACCAGCCTATCATTGCCCTTGGAACCCCCGCCCCTGGAAAAGATTCCTACTTGGTTGTCAGGGAATTTTTCAAAAGTTTTGGAAATTCCCCTCAACTCCAATAACGCCAAGCCTTGATGTCATGGAAAACCAGCCTACCATTGCCCTTGGAACCCCCGCCCCTGGAAAAGATTGCTCCTTTTTGGAAAACCAGCCAACCATTGGCACCTAGACAAAAAAACAGAAGGTCTTCCCTCTCTTTAAAAACGGTTCATTGCCGTTTTTTTATTTTAATTTTTTTATCAAAATAAGTTATTGTCCAAAAAAATATTAAAAACTGCTCCCAGGCCTTAGATATTTAACGCGCAACTGAGCCAACTAACCATTAACAGTTTAGTTTTCTTAACAACACCAAAAAACCATTTAAATTTATTTTCGAAATTTAGTAATTAAACCAAAAAAAATAAAAAATATTGTCACCTTTAAAACTCAAGAGGCAATCATAGTCCAAATAACCGCCATTAACAGGCCAACTATAAAATTTGATTTATTTTTTTTTAATTTTTTTCTTTTGAATTCATTCACAAAGTCCAGCACAACACATTCTCGCGCACACTTAATTGCCGCGGAATTTCAGTTTTTTTTTTTTAGATGTTGTTGTTAGTCAATAAAGTGGACCTTTAAAATGTTGTCTAAGGTCAAGCATAACATGTCTCCGAAGATTTTCGAAACCAGATAAGAAAAAAAATTCCCGCCGGCATTTAAGTCAAAACAAAAAAAAAGAGAATCAATTTTTAAGAGAAACCCCCCAAACAAACTCTTAAATTTCCCAAAAAAAAAAAAAAAAAAAAAAAAAAAAAAACACGTTCTAACAGCCACATTGGCCATTGATTGTGAAATGATAAAAAAAACCGAACAAACAAAAATACAAAAAAGCCCCCAAAACTCTAATCAAATGCCTTGGTCTAGTTTGGCCAACCAACCAACTGCAGTTAGAGGCTTAGGTTAAATTTTGAAAAACCAAAAAAAAAAATAATAATACCAATTCCGTATCAAAGTCTTTTGAATTGAGTTTCGTTTTCATTTTCGAAAATGATAGCGGTTTTTTCATAATTAAAACAATCAAATAATCATGGTATTAATTTTTAGAATGTCTTTTTGTTGGATGGGGTTTTTGATTTGATTCAAGTTCGTTTCTTAAGTCTTTTGTTTTTGGCTAACACAAAACAAATGCTATTGGATATTAGAAAAAAAAAATAAAACAATAACGAATACTTGTAATGATTGGGTTTTACAGACTTCTCATTGTGGTAAAAAAATGTAAACGCAAACAAAACCGAATATACGGTTTTAGTGAAATTCGGGTTTTTTGAAAAATCAAGAAAAAATACAAAAAATTTTAAAGAATTTTTAGAAGATTCTTAGCCTAAAAATTGTGATTTTTTAAATACAATTTAAAGGATCTCCAGATAAATAAACATGGGGTTTTTACGTACTTTTATGTCAAAAACCGCGGGTTTGCGAATTTTTAATCAGTTTTTATAGAATAATAATCGTCAGTTTTTATAGACTTTTATAGAGACCTATATGACCAGTAAACTTGGATTTTTAAAGAATTTTTTAGAGGATTTTCAAAGAATTTTTTTTGAGGACCCTGTGACCAATCAGCGGAGAATTTTTAAGGAATTATTCAAAGGACCAGATAAACGTGGATTTCTTAAAGAATTTTTTAGAGGATTCTTTGGATTTTCAACGATTTTTTTTTTTTTTTTTTGAGGACCCTGTGACCAATCAGCGGAGCATTTTTAAAGATTTTTTTCAAAGGACCCACTAACGGTGGATTTTTTAAAGAGAGGACCCTTAGATAAATAACCCTGGATTTTTAAAGATTTTTTCAAAGGACCACTAACGGTGGATTTTTTAAAGAGAGGACCCTTAGATAAACAACCCTGGATTTTTTAAAGATTTTGCTAGAGGACTCCATAGCTAAAAGACGTGTATTTGACAATTTTTTTAGAGGACCATTTGACTAATAAACGCGGATTTTTCACGATTTTTAAAATGACCCTTTGACCAATAATCGCTGACATTTTAAGAATTTTCAGAAGATCCTGCGTCCAATCAATGTGAATTTTTTAACGAATTTTTGGAAGGGACCCTATGGTCTATAAACATTGATGTTTTAAAGAACTTTTTTAGAGGGTGGTCGGAGCAATAAACTTGAAAGCATTTTTTCAAAGAACCCTCAGAGCAATTATTGTCGAATTTTTCAAAGGACTCTCAGAGCAAATAAACGTGAATTTTTTAAAGATTTTTTGCAGAGGACCCCCACACCAATAAATCTGGATTTTTTAAAGATTTTTCTCAGAGGGTCCCCAGAGCAATAAACGTGGATTTTTTTTTAAATTTCTTAGCAATAACCTTGGATTTTTTAAAGAATTCTTTCAAAGGACCCTTAGAGCAATAACGGTGATTTTTTTAAAGAATTTTTCAAAGGACCTTCAGGTTAATAAACCTGGATATTTCAAAGATTTCTTACAAAGATCCCTCAGATCAATAACTCTGGACCAAAATAAAACTGGATTTTTTTAAAATTTGTTTCAAAAGGCCCTCAGATCAATAAACGTGGATTTTTTAAAGAATTGTATCCAAGTACTCTCAGAGCAATAAACGTGGATTTTTTAAAGATTTTTTGCGAAGGACCCCCAGAGCAATAAACGTGGATTTTTTAAAGATTTTTTGCGAAGGACCCCCAGAGCAATAAACGTGGATTTTTTAAAGATTTTTTTCAAAGGACCCTCAGTGCAATAAACGTGGATATTTTACAGATTTTTTCAAAGGACTCACAGAGCAATAAACGTGGATTTTTTAAAGATTTTTTTCAAAGACCCTCAGAGCAATAAACTTGGATTTTTTAAAGATTTTTTTCAAAGGACACTCAGATCAATAAACGTGGATTTTTTAAAGATTTTTTTAAATGACCCTCAGAGCAAGGAGCATGGATTTTTTAAAGAATTTTTTCAAAGGTATATCAGGCCAAGAAACGTGGATTTTTTCCAAAGGACCCTCAGAGCAAAAAACTTAGTTTTTTTTAAAGAATTTTTTTTTTTCAAAGGACCCTCAGAGCAATAAACGTAGATTTTTAAAGAATTGTTTCAAAGGACACACAGAGCAAAAAACTTCGATTTTTATAGGACCCTCAGAGCAACAAACGTGGATTTTTTAAATAATTTTTTAAGGTCTTTTTCAAAGAACCCTCAGATCATAAACGTGGATTTTTTTAAGAATTTTTTCAAAGGAACCTTAAATCAATAAGTTAAGAGTTTTTAAAGGATTATTATATGCTCCTATGACCAATAACCGCTGATCTTTTTAAAGATTTTTTATGACCCAATAAACTAAGATTCTGTAAAGAATGTTTATGACCAATTGACGTTGATTTTATATAGAATATTTCAGAAGACCGTCAGAGCAGAGCAGAGTCCTGCATTAAGAAAATTTTTTTAGAAGACCGTTGACCAATAATCGTGGACTTGTTAAAGATTTTTTTTCTTTTGACCAAAAATACGGATTTTTAAAAGTCTTGCCTTTGACATTTCGTATTTGGAGTAATAGGTACTACAATTCCTAATAGGTACTACAGAATTAAAACAACCTGTGCGTGTTTGTTTTAAATGAAGAATTATAAGGATACTACTCAGTTTTGCTCAGCAAAAAATTCTTACATTTGTTTCAATTTTTTTTTTTTCATTTCTAGGAAACCAAGTTCGTGTCTTAAGTCTTTTGTTATCGAAGGACAATATTTTAACCATATTTCAATTAGGATTCTGGTTTTATTATAATTACAGCCTGTTTTCCCAACCAAAAAAGTTGTGTGAAATTTTTTAAATTTTTCCTTTGTCTGGAAACCAAGTTTGTGTCTTAAGTCTTTTGTTTTTTAAGGATAATATATTAACCACTTTTGTTTATTAGGATTCCGGATTTATTAGGATTCCAGCTACTTTTTCTCAACCAAAAAAAGTTCTGGTTAGTTTTTACATTTTTTTTTTTTTTTTTTTGGAAACCAAGTTCGTGTCTTAAGTCTTTTGTTTCCTAATCACAGTATTTCAATAAATTTTGATTTTTTTGTTAAATTTTTTTCCTAATTATTATAAAATGAGAGCGATTCCAAATTTCTGTCTTCCCCTCACTACTCCTCCCCCCCATCCATCACTTCTTTCCTCTCTTTTTTTTTAATGACCCAGTTTTCTTTTTTTTTTTTTCTTTGGTCTCCCCCAAAACCAATCCTGTTTAATTAAGAAATTTTCTCATTACGGCTCGAGAGCAGAAAAAATCCATGTCACTTGTTAATGAAATTAGCGGTTTTTTCCAAATATTTTATTTCGAAAAAAATTTTTTTTTGCGCGATCCAAATAATCCAAATGGAAGCTGGTTTGTTGTCATCGGCAAGACACCTGCCACACTGATGTGGAGCTGTCACTTTTCAAATGTCGGTTTGGCTTTAAATGAAGACTGGTTACGCAGCCGCACATAAGGATGGATGGATGGATGGATGGACGAGGCATGGCATAATCTAGAAACAAGTTACATTTAAAAGATAACCAAACGCATTGCTTTTGCAAAAAGCAAAAAAAATGGAGAAAAAAAAGGAATGTCTGCAGTGATGGGGGGTTTTAATCTGGTTTACCATGCGGATTTCCTTAAACAGTTTCTTGCAAAGACACTTTGAGTCTTGTTTCGGTTTTTTTTTTTTTTTTTTTTTTGAACTGGAAAATTCTTGTGGCCAGCCTAAGAGACCAAGCCAAAATCCAAATAAAAAGTAATCCAGTTATGGTCTTCTTGTGGCCACTTTGCAGCGAACTTTTAGCTGGCCGCTTGTTGTGGCTTCGGCCTCTTGTGTTTGTCAGTTTGATTATGGGTTTTGTTTTTAAGTTTTAGTTGTTGTTGTTTTTGGTTTGGTTTGAGTGGTGAATGTAGTTTGATTATTGTTGTAATATAATATGTTAAATGACTTGTTTTAATTTTTTTTTTTTTTTGCTTTTTGGATTTTTTCTGGTTGCGTGGTCACTTTTTATGGGTTTCCAATATTTTCGATTTTTTTTTTTTTTTGTTAACATACCAGGATATGAATCACTATTTTTATTTTAAGATTTCTTATTTCCCCTATTTTTTTTCAAAAAAAAAAAAAAATAAATAAATAAATAAAAATCATAAAAAAATGTTTAACTGTAAAAGGTAAACCATTCTCATAGCCCAGATGATGCTGATGATCATGACGGAATGATGCTGGTGGTCTCTAACTTTATTGGTTTTTTACTTTCACCCATATTTTGTTGTTGCCTTTTTTTTTTTTTTTGGTTTGCTCAACTCATCATAAAAATATTATTGATTTTGTTTTCTTTTTTTTTTTCCAAAACTTCAAACACAGAAATTTCCACAAAAGAAAAAAATACAAAAAAATTTCATTCACTCAATTATGTATTTTTTTATTAATTTTTCCATTCGTTTTTCTTTTTTTCTCAATTCAATTCCATTTAAATTTCAAAATTATTGGCAATTTCTCAAAAAACACAAAAAAATATCGCTTTACAACAATCTATTTAACGGTTTCATTTCTTGGGGGGTTCTCTCCATTTAACTAAATTTCAAAAAAGCTTCACCAAAATTCACCTTTTTCTTTCAACGCGTATTTAACTCCGTTTGTGACTTGACACGACAACGTTTTGAATAAAACTGTTTTGTCATGGCAAAAGAGTTGAGTCTTCAAACGCCAAACTAGGTTGGCAATTGGCCAACCCAACAACAAAGGAAACCCATAACAGAGAAAAAGCAAGAGCGTGAGAGAGAAACAATTTCTTACACACGACAAATCAAAAGAGTACCATTCAAGCATTAAAATCGTGGACTCTTTGATTTGTGGACTCATAAATGAGGTAATTTTGTTGTTGTTTTTGGTTGTTTTTTTATCATCTCCATCAGGTGCATAGAGTTAAGTCTATTTAATGACCTCTTTGACGTTTTGAACCAGCACCAGTAGTTAGCCACAACTTAACGCCCTGGGTGTCATTGAAGACACTGGGAAACAAAACAACAGGTATTTTATGGCAACGGCATTCAATCAATTGGAAGTTGAACAATTCGTGAATTTTTTAAAAATATAATTAAAAAAAAATTGAAAAAGAAAAAAAGGGCTGTTTATTTTTTTTTTTAATATTTTGAAATTTTTTACAGGTTTTTGGATTTTTTTCTAATATTTTAAGAGAATAGTCAGGGCTTGTGATTTTTAATAGTAATCAGGGCTTGTTTAATTTTTTTATATTTTTTAAATAGTTCAAGAGCACAAAAAAGATTCGTAAATTTCAAAAAAAGGAGAATAAGAATAATAAGAATATGGACAATTTGAGGCTTAGAAGAAGAAGAAGGTTTCATAGACCAATGCAGAGATCAATTTGACGGCACAGAGAGCCAGAGCCAATTTGAAAGTTCGAGATTCTATATAAACGAATCGACGTCTAGATATCTAATCAGGGACGACATGTGGACCGAGAGTTCAGGGTGGTAGGGGGGCTACATAGACAAATTCAGAGGCCTTTATGTTTAAGCCTTTATGGCATAGGAAACCAAAAACAACTTAAAAGCCCGATATTCTACATTCGTAAATCAACGTCTAAAGATCGCATAAAGAACGACAAGAAAACCGGGAGTCCAGGGTGTCAAGAGGCGGTAACATATAAAAATTTAGAGATATGGAAATTCATGTATTCAAAATTAGCCCAATATCGAATTCAGGACCAGGAATTCTTTATAAACAAATCGATTTCTAGAAAATTTACAAAGGAACGAATTAAAGATCGGCAGTCCTTGAGGATGAATTGAAAACGGAACCTTGATAGACGATTTGAAGGAAACAAACTCATAAAGGATTTATAAACAAATCGGTTTCTAGAGAAACTGTAGAGGATGAACTGAAAACCGGAAGTTCTTGAGGATAAATTGAAAACGAAGAAGCTTTATGGAGGATTTGGAGGCAAGGTTTTTAAACAAATCAACTTCAGGAGAAATCATAGAGCACGACTAACTAAGGACCCGCAGTTCTTGGTGACGAACTGAAAACGAATAAGTTTTATAGGCGATATAAAGACCGAGAAGCCCAATAATTGTGCATCGAACCACTGAGTAATGGATTGAAGATCAGAGCCTCGTTATAGACGATTTGAAGGCTATAGTAACCCTACAGGGCGAATTGAAGACCAAGTAAACAAGTAAACTGGAAACAGAGTTAGGGATTGGAAAATTATTTGAGGCTAATTGTAAAAAAGTGGTCTATGTGAACGCTTTGAAGACCAACTACCGATCAAGGGCAATAGCGAGTCTATGTTGACAAATTGAAGGTCAATCATCCCTGAAGCAACGTCCAAAAGACCAAATCCCCAGTCTAGAAAATTCGAAGGCTATAGAGGGCATGAAAAGCGAATTGAATTGTGAGAGGAAGTAGAGACCAATTCGAGGTGCAGATATTAAAATCGAAGATCCTCTATAAAGACGATAAGTGGCCCTGTGGGACAAATGGAATTGAGGCAGGAAATTGGTGGTCACATATTCAATTCGAAGTCACGAGGATTCTACTGAGGCTAATTGTAGGCCAGAGATGAGTAGAAGGCGAAAAGAGTCGTTGTGGGCGAATTGAAAACGAAGCAGTCGATATGGACAATTTAAAGACCCTAATGGCTGAATTGAAGGCAGGGAGTCCATGTTGACGAATTGGTGGCCAAAGGATCCTTAAAATGCCAATCAAATGCCAAAGAAGCCTACATTGATATTTGATTTGCGACTCGCGTGAGCAGCGACTCAATGATTCGAAGGCCATATTAAACCTAGGAGACAATTTGAACGTCGGAAATGTAAACGAATTAACGGCTTAAATAACGAATGGATAACCGGGGAATCTTAGTGGGAGAATTTTAAACGAAAAAGTCTATTTAAACGCCTTGAAGGTCAAAAAGACGCCAAAAGATTGAATAAGAACCAAGAAGTCCATTGTGAAAAATTGGCGGTCAAGGTTCGCTAAGATAATCCCAACATAAAGGCCAGGTGAAACCCTAAAATATAAATTGCAGACTAGAACCGACCATATAAAGGCTAAGCCTCAAATTGAAGACCTGGAAGTCTATGTTAGCGATTTGAAGACCACAAAGCCTCTAATTCAAGGCCATAAAGTCGAAGTTGACGATTTAAAGACGTTAGACTTTACAAAGTCTAAAACATAAAAGGCCCGACAAACCCTTGATCCAAAAATCGAATTCAAAATCATTGACGTCTTTGGGACACAAAAAACAGATTCCTTAATTGGTGAATTGATGGTCTGAGGCAGAGCGTCTCTAAATGGCGAGTAAAATATCAGGGAGTAGATATAGTAGGTGTAGGTAAAAATATCAAAAAATTGTTCATTTATTCCCGCACGGTTAGGTTTTTTATAATCGATTTGAAGATCTTTTTATAGGTAAGCTGGCTCTCCGACCCAGGCATCCTGCTCTTCTTTAAAAAAGCGACCTTTCTCGGCTAAGAAGTTAGCTTGCTTAGAGAAGAATTCCTGGTCGACTTATCGAGCCAACTTAGTCCCAACCAACCAAGAAAGACTGCCTGACCTGACAGCAAGCTCGTCTATTAAAAACATACTGGTCCGGCCGGGTAGCCAGTTTATCCATAAAAGGAGAGTAGGCAGCTCGTCTGTAAAGTATAAAGAACAGCCATTTTATATATAAAGAGCGGTATGACCTGGAAGATCAGCTACCTCGTCTTCTAGGTTTTGCTTGTTCTGGGACTGGGACAGGTTTTAGAAGATAACTCGTCTATAAAAAAAAGCTTTACAGTGACAGATCTCGTATTTCTTAGACGAACAGGCTGGCCGCACCAGGACTTTCACTCTGGATAAGTTCATCTACGGAGAATCTCTGGTCAGGCCAACTCTTGAGGTTTCTGTTTACCAGCCCTGATATTCTAATATCAAAAAAAAATCTCTAGAATTACCACAGATATCCCGGTATCATTTAACGTTCGAAAAACACTTAATTGAAATTCCGCTTTTACCATGCATGTTTTAGCTCTAGAATTTTCACATTTACCCAAATAACTGTTAGCGATCTAAGTAACCATGACTGATGTGATGAATCTTTAGAGGATAAAAAATTCCACGGTGATATTTTTTTTTCAAACAATTGCCAAATGTCCTTGACATTCGTTCGTCTTAGCCAACACTATTTAGATCTGTAAAAAAAAGAATTAAAGGACATAAGTTATTGAGTTATCAAAAAACATTACCTCAACTATAAATTCTCAATGTCTCGCCAGTTCTGATATAATGTAGATTTTATTATCTATGTCATAGCTCTAGAATTGCCGCAGTTATTCAAGTATCAGTTGAAGATCATGACTTAAAATTCTCTTGTAATGATGGATATATTAGCTCCTGAACTGACCAAAGTTCTCCAAAGTATACTTAAGTTATCTAAAGTTCCAATTCAATCTTGAGATTAATAAGACTTGTCCTAGTTCCTGAAAAATAGAGAGACCAATTATTTATTAAAAAAAATTTTCCACGCAATAGATTATCAAGATCAGAATCAAATATAGGAGGAAAGCTTTTTAAATTTGATGATTTTACTGCTGATCTTTTTCGATTAATGGAAACGAATCTTTCCAGACATTTTTACTTTCTTTTTCTTTGTCTCCATTTGCCGGTCATAATGAAGACTTCATTTGTGGAATTGCTAAATGTTTTGCATACCAAAACAAATTGAGTATTCATTTCACTTTAAAAAAAAAAAATTACTTAATAATTTCAATTACTTCGGCATTGTTTCGCCGGAAACACGACAATCTTCTCATGTCATCGTTTTTGGTCAGCATTTAGCATCTCCACAACATTGCTTCGGAGAAGAGCGGCATCACGACGTCAGTGTTAAATTAACAGCATTGTTTTTGTTTTTTGTTTCTGTTTGTTACTGGCCATTCAATATGGAATGCTTTCATTTTCTTACACACCCGTTCGCTAGTCTTTTTTTGTTTTTTGACCACTTGTCGCTTTGGCTTTATGGGCACGTATGTTATAGACCAAGCGGCAAAATCGCTGCAACAACAACAACAGTGGATCACACATTACAATTATTTGCCATTTGTCGTTGAGTGGCTGTTGTTTTTGCATTGATTTTTTTTTGTTGTTAAACAAATAAAAAATACTTTCTCCTTCGTGGTGTGGCGTTTTTTTGTTTTTGCTTTGCTGAAAGATCGGTCTTTATGCCGCTTGCTTGTGTTGAGCTTTTTCGTTTTGTTTTGATTACTCATAAAATATTCATCTGCTAATTGATTGACATTATGTAAATTACTTAATATCAATAAAAACAAAACAAAAAAAGTTATTTAATATTTCCGTAGAAGGAGAGAATGGAAGATGTGTTATGTTTTCTTTGAATGAAATCAAATTAAAAAGAAGTAAAAGAGCTCTCTCTCTCTCAAGAAGTGCAGACATTTTTTGAGAGAAAAGCAGAAATTATTTTTCGGCAGAATACGACGATAAACGACAAGCCAAGTCTTTTTCATAGAAGAGCGGAGAGTTTGGCTACATGGAAGGCCCAGAAAGACTTCGTAGTTTTGTGTGGTGACTTAGATCGTTTACAGTTACCTGGATAAACATGATTATTTCAAAGCTAGACTCCCTATTTCCCAATTCTCAAAAGGACTTCAATTTGTCCATAAAAATCTCGTTTATAGGGGAAACTATAAAGCACGAGCAGGGCCTGTTTTCCATAGAAGAGCAAAAGTACTCGTGGCTTCATAAGTTTTGATTACTTTGATCGTTAACAGTTACTTGGATA